GTCGGTCTTGTGTTTTCATTCTGTCTCTTCTGCTTTCTTCTTCCATTTTTTTTTTTTTAAGGAACCCTTGTGATTAGATTGGGCTTGACTAAATCATCCAGAATACTTTTCATATTTTAAGCCCAGCAGTTAGCAACTTTAACTCCATCTGCTACTTAATTTTCCTTTGCCATATAATTTCGCATAATCACAGATTCCAGGAATTAAGGCATAGAATATTCGGGGACCATTATTCTGCCAACTGCACTATGATAAAGCCTGATATACTATATTGATTTAACAATAATCTGTTGAATAAGTTATACCCAATTCAACCAGCTTCTACAAAGGAAGAAATGCTTTTTTTTTTTTTTTAACCTAGGTTCTAGGTAAAGATGCTCACTTTCAATCAGCCTAGAGTTTCTTGGTCATTGGGTTTCTTGCTAAAGTGATTCAGTAGCTGACTGATGAAGAGTCCTCACAAAAAAGCAGGTGACACTAGCTTAAAAATTCTTTGTTACCAGTAATGTTACTTAGGCAAATGACTTATCTTATTTAGGCTTTAATTCAGCCTCTGGAGAAGGGAATGCTGAGGGAATATAATAACACCTTCTCCAACCATGAAATGATATATTATAATAACACCTTCTCCAACCATGAAATGATATATCAATGTTTCTTTGATATCTTCATGATAATGACTCCCTGAAAAGGTGACTATTAAGTCTTAGAAAGCCTCAGAAGTCACTGAGGATATCCATGCTCGAAAACTTGCTGATGAGTGGGATACGGTGGAAAAGAAATTAAGAAGTACCTAAATAAAAGAATTACTTATAGATGATTATAATGAAAAAAGCACCATACTTTTTAAAAAATGGTACAACCAGAGTGTGCTTGGTTATGCCAAAAGAAAGGAATATGGAAATTTTTAGTGCCATCTATTGGTAGTGATTTTTAAATAAGAATTATTATGCATAATTGATGAGTGAATGACTCTTTGTTTTATCCAAATTCCTAAGGATTCTTGTTAACTATAGAATAGAGTAGTTTAAGAATGCATTCTCTTTTTTATGCATTCTCTTCTTTTTTTTTCCAAAGCAATTTTGGTCTTTTTTTTTTATTATGATTACATGGATGGATCATAGAAATCTTGTTTGATTTCAGGTCTTTATTAGGACTGGGCATGGAAGGTGGATATATGTGTGTCATTTGAAATGTGGCTAAAGTTCAGAGAAATAGGTTTCATTTAATAGCTGAATACTGGATGACCTCACCATTCTTCTCACCCTCTGGCAGCTCACCCCGTGAGCAATAGAGGAGATGTCCGCATGAACTGAGAAGTAGCTGCTGGCCTCAATGTGATTTTGCAGTGATCTGTGTGCTCTGTGGCTTCCTTCATAACCAACAAATCAATTCCCACTATGCGTATTACACACCCCAGTGGCAGAGGCCATTTATTATCCTTTTGATGGTCATACTCTTTGTACATAACCAAGAAAGATTACAGAGGAAGGAAAAGAACAGTTGCAATATGGATGAAGATATTCCACAATGGCACTGCATTTTATCATGTAAGCCTTGCATGCCTATAAGGATACAAAAGATGCTCTTTTTCAAGACAATTTTGAAACATGGAAGCAAAATTCTTTTTAATGAAAAATGTTTCAAGAATGAGAAGCGAAGAGAAAGTTGTAGAGATAATTCTACAATAGTTCTAAATTCTATACATTTAGATTTCAAGGGCAAATTTAAAATGATTAAAAGACTGTCATATTTTGTTTTTGTATGAGCATTGTTAATAACACTATACTTGCCTAGTTTTGCTCAATTAATTAGCTTTTGATATAGTCTTTTATTTGGCATCATTCAGTATCAACTGATTCCTTTATTAATTTCTAATTTGCAGTATATAAATTTCTAAACTTTCAATGATCAATTCAGGGATTTTCCTGACTCTTTGACTCCACATGTATCTAATAATAGTTACCATTATTAGATAAATCAAAAAACAAATATTGACTTGTGGTGACTAGGTATAAAATAACTGAATATTTTGAATTCGATGTAAGTGGTTCCTAATGCAATTTTAGTGTTATTTGTCCTAAATCAAAAGTCTGGTTAAAAAAAAAAAAAACAACACATATATCTGAATGTGAGTAGGAAACATTTTTATAGTAAAACTAATGGTAAAAGAATGACTTTATAGTGGGTTCTGTGCATACACACTTAAACTGCTTAGTCATTTATGTCAATGGATATGAAAAGAACAGTGGAAATTTCCAAAGGTCAAAGAAGCTACTGTCTTTTCTGTTTTGCATCATTTGAGACTTTCCAGGTTTTTTTTGTTTTTTTTTTTCAAACAACACAATGCCAAATCTGCATTTGATTTTCCCTTCCCTTTGAAGAGGCAAAACAATGACAGAATAATTAACTGAGGAGGAGATCATGTACAGGGCATTCTGCTTTAGCAGTGTGGAAAGTTCTGCATTTCATTTCACATGATGGTAAATGGAGTGAGGTATTTTGGAATCCCTTCTATAACAGAGTTAGCCCCTGACTACATTACTGTATATAAACCAAACCTTCTTGGGGTCTGTTTCCTGTTTAACTGTTCCTCATTTGTGTAATTGAAAAGAATGCTCAATGAAAAGACTGCATCTTGCTTTCCATTAGGTGACGGTCTACACCTTCATGGAGAAACACACACAAGAACAGAAAAAAGGAATTGTCAATATCAGGTTCGGTGCCTCACTAGTTCTGTGCAGACCAAAAGACTGTAACCGTGGTCTGCAACGCTAAGAGGGAATAGTAGATTGTCTTTTACTTGTTGTTTTTTCTTTCTTTCTTTTTTCCCCACTCTTGTTTTCATGATTTATCTTCTCTTCCCATGTTATGTCATCATATTTGATCTTCAGAGAGCAATGAGCATTTATATGTAACATCTTTTGAATATGTCCATGAATTCCATTTCTTTGCTGTCCCCAGCACTGCTCTGACTTGCTGTGGTTCATCATTAAGTCACTGAACTGCTTAGTCTGTTACTAGTTTCTCCTTTGGTAACACGTTTATTATTAGGACTATTTTTCATGGAGGAATTTACTATCTCATTCTGGAAAATCTTTCTAGAATAAAATTAGGCATGCTTATCCAGGAATTTAGAGACTAGTTATTATAAAGATCAATTACTGGTTTAATAAAACACATGGTATATACCCATGTGATTTACTGCCTTAATTAAATAAATATTTGCATATCCATATATATATCTTCAAAAATAAAAGGAATTATATCATTATTTAGTCAGGTTTTCTACATTTCTTGGGCTCAATGGAAGCCCAGACAAGTTCAAAGTAGCACTGGGAAAAATTAGGAGAAAGAAAGAGAAGCAACAGATTAAGTGTTCATTGTTTTGTGAATGTACCACAGTGATAATATGGTTCAAATTGTTTTATACCTGTTAACCTACTCATCATGCTGACCCTGAGATACGGGTGCTATTACAAGCTGCTTTTTCCATGTGAGCAAACTAAGGCATAGAGAAGAATTATATCCAGGCTATCAGCTCCCAGAGATTTTAGTCACAACACTGTGGTAACTACTGTATACTACCTCCACAAATTATTTGGACTGAGTGGAAAATGCTTTCTGATTGTTCAGTTATTTTCAGATGGGCTCTTCATCTTTTCTCTTGCAAAAACTGTTATTTTAGAAACTTTGACATCTCTCGCCCTTAATGCCAAATATTGAGAGGAGATCAGAGCTAAATCAGAATACTTTGTATGAGATCCTTTTATAGTTTATTTCAACCAAAAATATCAGTATTGTGTTATGTAATGAAAAAGTTCTTAAGCTTTGAATTTGTATTTATAGATTTTTAGTGGCATACTGATAATTTCAATTTTTAAAATGAAAATTGATCTTTAACAAGTTACATGCAAATAATTTAATCTCCATGTAGAGAGAGAATTGTGGGTGAGATAAGCAGGAATATATTTTAGATTTTAAAAATAAAAAATACATTTACCATTTACAATAATTTATTTCATGTTTATTTTTAAAAACTGTTCAATTATGGTAAAATCCACATAACATAAAACTTACCATCTTGGCCACTTTTAAGTTACAGTTCAGTGGTATTTTCCCATTGTTGTGCAACAAATCTCCTGAGTATTTTTATCTTGAAAAACTGAAATTCTACACTGTTAGCAACTGCTCATTTCCCCTCTCCCCCACGCCTGCCAACCACCATTCTACTTTCTGTTTCTATGATTTTGACTATTTCAGATACCTCTTCATGTAAGTGAAATCATAAGTATGTGTTCTTTTGTGACTGGCTTATCTTTCTTAGCACAATGTCCTCAAGGTTCATCCATGTTGTAGTATGTGTCAGAATTTCCTTCTTTGTTAAAGGTGAATAATATCCCATTGTTTATATATATACACCACACTTTGTTTATCCATTCATCGACCAGTGGACATTTATATTGTTTCCACATCTTGCCTATTGTGAATAATTCTGTTATAATCATGGGTACACAAATATCACTTCTGGACCCTACTTTCAATTCTTTTGGATATATATCCAAAGGTGGAATTGCTGAATCATATGATAATTCTATTTTTAATTTTTTGAGGATATACCATACTGTTTTCCATAGCAATTGAACCTTTTTACTTTCCTGCTAATAGTACACAAAGGTTTTAATTTCTTCACATCCTTGCAAACACTTATTATTGTGTATGTGTGTGTGTGTTTATAGTAGGCATTTTAACAGATATGGGGTGGCATCTCATTGTGGTCTTGATTTGCATTTCCCTAATTCATGTTACTTTGTGTTCTCCTATAATGTGAGCAATCCACTATAGCTAAAAGGAACATAAATACTTTTGAGTCCAATTATTTATTTAGAAATAATTTTGATCAATTTTCCTTTCACAGTGTTTCACTGTTATTCTCAAAATATCTTACTTTTGGTTGTGCTTTAAGCACAGATTTTTATGTACTGTTTCTTTGTTTGCAGCTGTTCTTCAGTTGCTGACAGTAGATCTGGAGACTTCTTCAAGCATCTCCATTTTGTGCCGGTATCAGTGTCTTCAGAACTTCAGTTATCTCAATGGCAAAGCCAGGGCTTCTGGTACCTTATCCTGCTGATGGTTTCTCTCTGGTTCCTGAGGCTCTACCTGCATTACCTGGGCCAGTGGCTTTTCCTCCAGGCCATTTCAACTCCTGTTACAAAGTGAGTGCTTTCCTCTGAAAGTCAAAAGAATGTATTTTCATCTTGATAGGACAAATGAAAGTACAAAACACCTCTCCCATCCATTTACCGTACAACCTAAAATGCAGAGATTATTTGAAAAGACAAAAATGTCTTTATCTAAGAGCAAGAACTTCTATTACAGTTATAGTCTCACCTTATGGGCCTGTATATATAAGTACATAACTGGTACATCAATATTTATTTTAAATTTAGCAGATTCAAATATGTTCTAATATCTGAGCAGGTTCCAAAAAGGAATTTAGCAACAATGTTTTATTCTATTTTGATTTTATCATAGTGACTTAGGCTGAAGGTATTTTAGAAGTAATGTAAGTGTGATTTATCACCTATTCACAGAGAAGCAAAGATTGCTTCTTCTGCAAAATGATTGAATTCAAACAATTACCAAACTCAAGCCCAGGCAGCTTTCGGGGCCATTATCCTCTGGAAAAGGATGACATTTTAAAGGTTATCTCTTTATAAACATGATTCCAAAGACACTGTAGATAGACACACAGATAGATATCAATACGAGTAAAATTCATTTTCTCAAATGTAGATGGTACAGATAAAAATAAAGTTGTGTGTATATTTTCAATTAAGAAGAGTGCAAAGAACTTTAAGACTTTATGAAAATAATATATATGTATATTTGTATTTATACATACATATATAGTTATTGATATTCTTTGAAAATGAAATCATAAAGGTCCGAATATATTATGGAATATACAAATGTGTATATACTAAACTGCATTTTCAAGGAGGAATTTTTATATGGATAGTCTCTTTGTTCCTCCTTTCTTTCTTTCTCTTTCCTTTTTTTAAGTTTTCCAAAGCAGGAAAAACAAATGTTGTATGCTTGGCCTAGTTGTTGTTTGCTTTTCACTCTTTTATTCTTCAATAGGAAAGGAAGCCCTATCTTTATTAGTTGTTAATAAAATGAGACTGCAAAATGTATCTTGACAGCCCCGTTGAACCAATTTCTTAAGCAACGGAGGACCTAAGATACAAACGATATTTTCTGGCTATTGTCTCAGTCTGCAGGCTTGAGTTACACAGTAGCTCTGTGTCACATCTTAGCTGTGAGCCGTAGCAATAACATTACCAACAATGAGCATGTCTTCCAC